ACACATAATACACGTCACACACGTTTTTGTTGGGGGGTATGATTTGTGTTTAGTGTCGTTAGAATCTAAGACTCAGTTTGTTCCTAAATCGATATGAACACTTGTGACTTGACGCTGATTTTTGATAGGCTCCTATACATTTTGACTGGCAAAGATCGACTTGGAATAAGAACCATATTTAAAAGGCCATTTCTGTAACAAGCATTTCCATTTGATTACCATGCATGCTCTCCGAACATGAGTGAATCCTTCATTGTCAGGGCATCGTCTAAAAAACGTTATGTATGCGAACTTAATTTTAAAAATAAAATTAATCAATCTTTCCATGTGAACGCACTGTTTGTCATCGGTGATATAGGGAGAAAAAGAAGCGTCAATTACTAAATAGGCATTAATTATGGTGAACAATTCACAACGCGTTTCAGCGCACAAAAGCTAATTTTGCCTTTCTGATACACAGAGGTCTAATAATATCTTGATGATTCGGAGCTGCATGCCCGGCCCCCCCACTCAGTGTTATTTAGGGTACGCATATGCTCGTACCCTTTTTTTGAAAGCACCCCCTATCTGAGGACTGCCAACATTTCCGAACCCCCCTCTCGCGGGCTTTTCGCGTGCTTTTCCTGCCTTGGAGACCCCCCTAAATCAGGAAAAATGCTCAATGTACCCCCCTAAATTCGGAATAATTTCTCAGGAGTCCAAAGAGATGAGAGAAAAAAAGAAAAACACCCCTTTTTAAAGAAATCTCCGGGTGAAAAGTCAAATACACCCCTTTTTTTACAATTCTCGGGCCGGACTTTGTCGCACGAAAAGTACCCCTTTACCGGACATTTTGGCAACACGCATGCGGTCATTCCGACCTCTGAGTGGGGGGGGGGGGGGGGGGGGGGGGCCGGGGCTGCATGCTAGTGGTAAGTATTGCACTTGAAGGGGAAAGGAGGTAACTTGTTCTCATGCAATTCTTTAACCAGGTAGAATTATAACTTAATTTTCAGTCAAATGAAGAAGATTTAATACAAGGAAAATAATAACATCGCTTTTAAAACCTTATAAATTATGAGCAAATTCTCAACAACATAGCATCTGCTCAGTCGAAATGCAACCTTGCAAGCAACGTCGTTAAAGCCCCTCTATAGTGCTGGGAGCCCAAACAATTTCCTAGCAAAATTAAAGTTTTCTGCGTACAACAGAAAAACCCAAATTATGTATTCTTTTATCAACATTTGTCTTCAAACAATTTTTTTTTTTTTGGGGGGGGGGGGGGGGGAATCTTTGCAGAAGTGTGTTTTAACTGACATCCTCTTACACATTATGATACAATTTAAATGAAATTTATGGTGAATTCAAGGCTCCCAAAACTTTGGAGGGGCTTTAGGCATTGGGAGACAAAATGAAAATAATGGGACTTTAGGGGCATGTATCCTCTAACAAAATGAAGAAGAGCTATTATATAGGGAACAAAATTAACGTTATTCCTATTGTGTTCATTAAATCAAAAACTGAAGCACCTTCAGACATACTATATTAGTGTATATTAAGAAGAGATGGATTAAAGCGGTTGCCCTACCCCCTCCCCCCTCCACACACACACTTTAACATTTCCCTTAAAGTATTTACGGATCGTCTTTGGTTCGGATGTTTGCCCCCCCCCCCATCCCATGCCTCCCCCTGAAGCCATAGGCCCCTGCTTTACACCAAAGAGATTAGAGTCGAGCAAGAGTATCGCTCCTCACTTTCAATTTAGAGTTCTACATTATTCATGAGGGATTCGTTGATTTAAACCCGTCCATTCTTTATTGCTATTCCTCAATGCTGACATTTGAAGCAAAATATTGGGCATGGAACGAACTTTGACTACATGATACTACAGTACTTGATACTATTATGCAACCCAAACATGAGCACAGCCAAATATTACCGTTCTTGTTTTGGCGAACCGCGTCTTTGAAATTCGGGGGGGGGGGGGGGTTACCGCCTAGGCTCTTTGCTGGATACGCCTCTACTAGGTCTACATGAATAGATAGATTATGTTATGGATGAGAAATTGATAAACATACAGGCAACAACAATGGAAGCTGGAAAATTATTAAATATTAAAAGAGAGGCTTCTTTCTGCATGGATATCTAAATTAACTTGAGAATAAAATCCTCAAAATAATGCAAATTGTCTCGTCACTTCAATCCGGTTAGATACTGCATAATCAACATGAAAATCATAAATATAGATGTAAAACTATTATAGATTGATAACAGTGAAGAATACTCCTGATAAAGTGGAGAACTGTATGATATGCTGCTCAATGTGGAGTTATATATATATATATATATATATATATATATATATATATATATATATATATATATATATATAGGATTTTATTGAAATCAAAACACATCAAAAACCAAGAGCAAACAGTCCGGAGACTGACACGTGTCTTGGGTACAACATTTTTCTGGATCAGAAATATAAGAACATTAAGAAAGTAATATGCTACATCATTTAATATGGGTGTACCAAGCATGGTTGCTTTGTGATATGTGTAAGGCAGAAGAGAACTATACTGTTTGCATAACATTTGTATTTTCACAAAAGTATTGCATAACACCAGCTTGGAAATTATTGATTAATAACATTAATTAATAGCTTTATTTGCGTGGCACCGACTTCATGACCTTTTCAGGATGTTTGAAATAGTTGACGTGATACTTGCTACCGCACACGATCAATATTTACTGTTAACATCGAATCACTGTTTGGAGGCATAACGTCAATTCCAATTGATACATTTCATGCAACTCTAATTTCAAGATTTCAAGTAATGAAATAAAGCTATTCTTGATTAAGAGCTTGTTCATTTCTGATGTGACAAGGTATACAGGGTCCTCGGAAAGCGGATGTCATGCAGAGGAGGGTTAATTCTAGGCTGCCGTGAGTACAGTACATTAATGGTGATCCATGCAACATTAATTTAATCTGGCCATGGTTTTTATTTGGTCAAAGATGTACCGATAGGTTTAGGACTTGGTTTGTGATTGAGTTTCATGTCACCAACAGGTGATAAATTTAGGTACAACCATGTACAATCATGATGAAAATGGTTACTTCCTTATTAGATATTTGAGGTTTTAATGGATCTGTGGTGAGTGACTGTGACGTCATTATATTCCTATTATTCTGACTTCCCCCGAGATTGTATCTGATGCGTATTTTCCTCGGTCCTCAAATCAGAACATTGAGCATATCCCCTAAAAATTACACATTTTCTTAAACCGTGATGAAGCAAATTAATTTTTACGATACAGCGCTTCTTCAATTATTTTGTCTTGCTTAACAAGGAAGTATTTTTTCATTTTCGCTTTCTTCATAACCAATTGAAAATTCATCAACTCTCGAAATCGAGAAATTATTTACACATTTCAATAGAAGTCTTTATTACTGTGACGTCACTATATTCCTATAAGGTTCTGACTTCCCCCAAGATCGTATTTGATGCGTATTTGCTAGGTCCTCAAAAATTTACAATTTACCAGAACATTGAGCATATCCCCTAAAAATAACATATTTTCTTAAACCGGATGAAGCGAATTAATTACTACGGTACAGCGCTTCTTATTTGTCTTGCTTAACAAGGAAGTATTTTTTTCATTTTCGCTTTCCTCATAACCAATTAAAAATTCATCAACTCTCGAAATCGTCGTTTATCAACTTTCAAAATCGAGAAATTATGTATATATTTAATAGAACTCTTTACAATGATTATACACATTAAAATACGTGTGTGTATATATATATATATAGACGATTATAATTAGAAAGCTCCGCATGATACCCTTCTTTCAGTTTCAGTAATGGACGGCAATTTAAAAGTACTACCGGTATGTCCCATTTGCAGGCCCAAAAAATGAAAAGGTTAAATTCCAACGGCATTTGAAAGACAATACTTATTTAGAACTTCCCTCAAAACGAAAGGGCTTGAAAATGGCATTTAGTGGGAATTATATAACGACTATTAGTAAGTTGTCGAATCTAAGTAATAGTCTGATTTCAGACCCTTTTACCGAACGGGCGTACGTGTTGTGCTGCACAATGCACAATGATTCAATCAGTTTAATTTTGGCCGTTACTAGTAGTGGGTTATTGATGTAGACAAATGCTTATGTTCCTGTTACAGCTCATTTAATATGTATGTTATTACCAAAGAAAAAAAGATGTCAGTCAGTCACTCAATAGTGTATGACAGTGAAGTCTAGAAGGTAAACGGGTTTCCTTACATAATTTGAATACTAGGACACTGCTAATGTTTAAATTTCACAGGTAGGACATACAATGACATATTCATAATTCCTGCAAAGTTCTACAGATTTTGATGTCGGCTGCAAAAAGGACATACTCTTTAACCCATGTTACTACTACTAGATTTCGGTCACATTGCAAGTCATCTTCAAGATATGCAAAGTTTGCATATTTCGTATTCTTTGTTACCTTCATTGATAAGGCTACATTTTGTTTCCACTCCACCATACAACACAGAACGTTTAGTATAATGTGTTTTGCGTATCTTAAAATAACAAATTATTTTCTAAGATGTTATTAATGCTAATGTAACAAAATTAAACATTTGTAAACAACTTCAGCAATACAACAATTTCTGTACCCTTAACTCGTATTTTTTTCAATAAACTTGAAAGTTTTCTGCATGATAGTTTTAGAAAATATTTTTCGTAAACACAATTGTTCTCTAATATCAGGCGAATTTTAGAAGTCAATTTTGATTAGCTTGATTTTTAACATGAGTAAAAGTTGATATCCTTGATTGTTGTCAAAGCACTTAAAAGAGTCTGAAGTACAAAAAGTATACCATATTGAATTTACTATCAGATTTATTGTTATTGTTTATAAGTTATTTCCATATAAAGATGTATCATTCGTGTCAATGAAAACTCACAATTAGACCTTTCTCATGACAGTTTTACCTCTACTTCCTACATTATGAATTTAGATGATTATGAAAGACCATCGGCTGAGGCATTACTCTGCAAGATTAGTGATGATCGCTCTTGATTCGGCGAAGTCGTCATCGTAAGCCTGAATGAATGCTAAAAGAGGTGATCATCATGTTAGGATCACGGCTATGTTACAGCGGCAAGGCTTGTACTCTATCTTGTACATCACCACCGCCACTCTTACCATCCATACCACCCAAATGGGCGTGTCATCTCCCTGAACGTAAGTTTGACTTATCATCCTTGTGTAAGTAATGTCCACTGGATGTTAACATTATTTACCGCTTCCCAAATAACAAATTATTCCTTTTACTGATATAGATTTAACCACCTTCGATGTCAATGTTCTGTTTATTTACTTGGTAAAGTTTTGAACAAAAATATGATACCATAATAATAATAACTGCCAGTTTAACAAATTATTATATAGATACATGGACATATGTTATTATAGTGATAAGGGAGCATGAACCTGTTTCTGGATGGAATGCATATTCGATGTAATATTGTTCAAATGAAAAATAATAAACCATTTCTGGAAAATTTGCAAATTTTAAATTTAGTCAGAAATTCTATTTGATATTGTGGTTTATCAAGACATTTTCACTGTTATCTCTCGACAACCCTGTCACACACACACACCGACTCTCTCCCTCTCTCTCTCTCTCTCTCTCTCTTTCTCTCTCTTTTCATCCCTCCCTCCGCCCCCTCTCTCTCTCTCTCCCTCTCTCTCTCACTTCCTCTCTCCTCCTACCTCTCCCTTCCCTCCCTCCCTTCCACCCTCCCCCCTCTCTTTCTCTCCCTCCCTCCCTACCCTTCTCCCCCTCACTTTCTCCTTTTTTTTTCTCTCTCTCTCCCTCTCTCCCCTTCCCTTCCTCTCTATATCTGTCTTCCTCCATTTCTCATTTTTCTCGTCTGAAGTCACGAAACGTCGGATATAATACATTTTTGTTTTTAAGATTCTTTTTTATATCTTACATTTTCAAGAAAACATGACAAGATAATATTATTATGATAACATGAAAACATAAGGAAACATGACATAAACATAATCAGATATGTGAACTTCAGAACTTGAATGGGAAGAAAGGGGGCTCCTCCCTGCCCCCCCCCCACACACACACTCCATTTTATGCATGTACATAATGTAGATATGAAAATGAAACAGGTATGGGAGAGATTTTTAAATTATCATAATGATTATTGTGTATCCTCCAATCTACATCTAACTCTACCTCTAGTTTCTTTTTTTTTAAAGATTAATTATACAGTGCGTCCCCGAAAAAACGAAACCGAGAATTATTGAGGTTTTATCATGACTTTATCACAATTATAATTGATAAACAGAACTTTGTCATTCCTGCTCATTTTTACTGATTGAGGTGTCATATCAAAGGGTAGAAACTCAACTTTCTAGAAATGTAATTTTCTCTTTGAAATTCAGATACCGTCCGCCAAATGACTTTTTGGTTTCCTCTCTTCAAATTCATTTTAAGCACTCATGCGTGAAATATTCATCATGAGTTGCATCAAATGAAAGAGGAAGATCTAAGCTTTCCAAATATGTGTCATTTATTAATTATAAATGTGACTAAGTTATGATAAATCATCGACAACTCTCGGTTTCGTTTTTTCTGGGACGCACTGTACATCAATTGGTATGACTTCCATTATTATCAGGTTGTTGATATTTGCAGTATCGTAGTTAACCGAAGTGAAAACCTCTGAATCTCTGATACCTTGTTCTCTATAGTTGTTCCATTCTGTAGTGCTTCTACTCTAGGCCAAGAAATGTTCACCAAGTTTGTCCACGTGTGCGTCCAGAATTCGTTGTATAGAGGGTGGAATTAGGTCTAGCTCCGGGCCCTGGCACAGGCGCGGATCCACGGGGGGGGGGGGGGGGGGGGGGGGGGGGGGGGGCTACGGGCCGGCCCCTCCCCTTGGTTTTGTGTGTTTTTTTTATTGATTAAAACAAATAACAATAATTACAAAAAATGTTTATATAATTTGTTAAAGTTAGTGCTCACACTACCCCCCCCCCCCCCACCATTGAGCGAAAATAACGGCCTGCGCGATTTCAAAATTTCCACACACAAACAAAATTATGCTCACTACCCCCCACCCCCATGAGCGCAATATTGGTCGACGCGATTTTCAAATTTAAGCCCCCCCCCCCCCCCCCCCCCCCGCCTATCGACAAATCCTGGATCCGCCACTGCCCTGGCGTTGTCCCTGGCTCGAGCGCTGCCGGCCGGGGCGTCTTCTTTGTATAATCATGTGTGCCATTTCGTAATCCCGTAAATAAGAAAAGGAGAAGGAGCGGAAAACACGTCCTTACTCTGTGATGGTCAGGACCAGAAGAGCAAATTCGGAAGTCGATTCAAGAATCTAAGCCATGTTAAATATATATCCTTGTAAGGAGAAAATATAGATGAGTGAAATAGGCATAAAAATGAAGTTTGAAATAGGCCTTTATTCTGAAATGCTCTATCATAAAAACTATTAATTCTTTATGAGAACCATAATATTCAATTTTGTGTCTTTCACACAGCATTTCCTACATGGATAATAATCTTGATTGTCTGTATGTCCGTATGCTTACTAGGATCGTTCATGACATACATGGTATACAGGTAAGTCACTACGTGGGATTTAAATATAATATGAGGCATGGCCTAATCTTGCCCCTGTTAAAGGCGAAGTCCAATCCAAAAATAAGTTACTTTTGATAGATGCACATTGCCTCACTTATTGCTTTTATATTCTTATATATCCCATTAATTTCCCTTTTTATCCCCCCCCCCAAAAAAAAAACTTTATTTCCCCATGGCTTTGCCCTGCTTATATGATTTGTATCATATTGCGTGCATGAAGAAAAAAAAAACTTTTAAGAACTTTGAAGATTTGATACTTTTTTACGAATATTGTATATTCATAATCATTGATTTTATATAAATAGTTTATCAAATTTCACATTCTTTAGGATCTAACTGAAAAAATTACTCTAATACATGTATATTAGGGCATCCACACAAAAACATATAACTTGGATGCTTGTGTGAGGAAATAAGATATTTTAAAGGGAAAATTGGAAATTTATATTATCAATATAAAGAAAACAATTAGTGGATAGTGAGGCAATGACGTCACAGACTCGTGAGTGAGTTGCGAATTTGTGTTTGTGATTTTCAAATGATTGTATGTCATTAAAAATACATAACTTTCTTATTAGTTATCCGATTTTGCTCAAACTTTTTTGATTGGTTTGTCTGATTTTGCTGCTTCTATTGAAAGTAAATTATTTTTGGAGTGGACTTGCCCTTTAATTTTCTGATCGATCAAGACGTAAAGGCAGAGATAATAGGAACTTATCGATTTGCGTGGACGTGAACATGTGACTTCCTTTTAAGGCACTGGTAGTCACGTGTGACGTCTTTTTAAGGCACTGGCAGTGCCTTAAAAGGATGTCACACGTTGCAGTCCACGTTTTCGTCGTGCAAATCGAAAAGTCCCTTGGCAACTGAACCAAGAAAAGTCTAACACTCTTGGGACAATGAGTAAACAGGTACAGCTACCCCTGCATGGACAACTACCGCTAGAGCAACTAAACTCCGCTATAGGACAATGGCCCTTTCCTAGACGACCGCCTTCAAACAAATACATGTACCTTCTCGGCTAGCGGAAGGGGGAAGGGGGTGGGCCATGGGGGGGGGGGCATTTTTTTTAGAGGTATCGATGTTGTCTTTCGGGATGGCAGTAGTGAAGATTAATAATTATAATGATAATAACAATAATAATAACAATACTACTGATAACAACATTAGTAATATTAAATAATAATAATAATTATGATAATGATGATTACAATATTAATAAATAATATTAACAGCAACAATAATGATAATAATGATATTTATAAATCTATATGATTACATCTCTCATTGAAGTAGAATCCGTTTTCCTGTTATGACTACAAATAATGCACTATTACTAAATGGAAAATACTTTAGGCGTTTTTAAAAACAGATTTATTTGATTCTTTGAGACTGTGAGGAAATTCAGTTATATAATAATTATTGTTATTCTGTAATTACTTTAAATGTATCGTTAGGTAATGATATCAACTTATTGTCCAAATTTCAAGAATATTTTCCTTCCTATTTCGCCAAATGATATTGTCGTTGACATGCATGTTTATTATACATGTATATTAGGGAATACATGAGATAAATATATAGAATTGAATACACACATTGCAAGTTGAATCTCTCATGTCATCCAGTTCAACCGTATTACAACCATTACAGTTTTTCTCTTGAACTAAGCAGACACATGAGACAACGCCTCATCTACCTCTATTGTACGGAGTATCCCTCCCATCTTCCTGGTCTATCTCTCAAGTCATTCCCCATCCATTCATCATTAAACATTATTTTCTTCTCATTCAAGCAGGCGGGTGGGGAAGAAGAAACAGCAGCAGATTGGCGACCAGGATTGTGAGCTGCGATCTAAGAATGGAAGTACAGCATCTACCCGTAACCTTGTTCCCGGCAACACATCATAAGCAAACAAGCAAAGTGAAAAGAACAAAGTTCCTCGTCCAATCATAATTATCAACGTTATGGAGTACTTCTTGTTTTATGAGAAGTGAGAGGGAGAAAGAAAGACTCTCGTGTGAATGACTTCATGTGCTTTGAGGGAGCAACGATGACGTCACAGAAGTAGACCTAATAAAGAGCGTAGTTACCAGCCGACAAATTAAAGAATTCAGTTGGAGAATAGAATCGTTTTAGTAAAAACGATTGCAACTGCTTTATTTAAACGACTGTGTGTATCTTTACCAGTACCACTGAAGTGCAATACGAATTCATGCAAGTACATCATGCATATAGGGACTGACATAGGATGTAATTTCAGCCTCTACTCAACCACCATGTTTACACTACCGATTTGTGTATTCGGTACTCGAGTAGAAATCTATCCATTCAGTTTTAACAATGCATGAGCAAACTAAAAGCGTCATCGAATGCATAACATGTGAATATGAACAAAATGTGACTATAGGCATCATTAGGAAGCGTATTATCAAGATTACATGTAGGAAAATTAAGAATGTGCTTCAAAAATTGGGACGGGTGATATAATGCTGTCACCTGAAATTACGTTTAGAAACGATTAATACATAACTTGCCATTCTCGGTTAATAACTTAAATGCACGAGTTGGGTTCTGACTACACCTCTTATGAGATGGAGTGATTATAACGGGTCGTATAATATACAGCAGACCTGTGCAAGGCCCGAGTTACAGGTTACCAACATGTGTAAACGACTCCGTGACTCCCTAACAGTGATTGGAACATACTCGTGTATAGACGCAGATTAAACGTGATTAGCAAGTTCACAATCCTTGGCAGCATAATCCCCCCCCCCCCCCTGCCAAATGCAGAGTGTGTTTGATTTGGAATAGGACGGCACTCGGGGGCGGTGATTTCTTTTCATGACTGGGGGTTGGGACGAAATGCGAGATTTTCAACAATATTTAGTTGTACATTTTGAAGGATATTATGCAAGGGAGCGTAGCGACCAAGCGAGCAGATGTTTGCATTTTATTAGTCTAAACCCTGCTCTCTTTGGCCGTCCAGAGCCTGAAAGCGTGTTGCGGTCTTTGATGTCCCTTTTTTTTTGGTGGGGGGGGGGGGGCACTTTTTCAAATTTTCCGGGGGGACGTTCCCTCCTTAAAAAAATTAGGGGGGACGTGCTCCCCCCCCCCCGTTCTCTCGGGATCGCCGCCCTGACAGGACTAACCCTCACCAAAGCTTAAGTTATGTAAGTCAATAGAACTTCCGACATGGCTGTATGCTTTTGAATCATGGACAAGTGGCATGCCATATAGGAAGTTTCTTTTTCAAACATCTCGACCTAATTGACAACTAATGAATAGGCATGTAAACGGGAGGAAATGGTTAGAGATTAAAAGTAGAAAGTTATTTTTTTTAAAAAAGTAATTATCTAATGCCATGATGGGAAATTTTATTGACTTTGAATCTTGCCGAGTATAAATTAATGTCACATCGTGCCTTTGACAAGGAAAATGTTGCATATAAAATAATGTGAAAGGTTATGAAGATGCAATAAATGTTGTATTTCAAGGCAATATTGTCGTTGATGATGTATCCTGAGGGGCTGGACATAGTCGATGTCCTTGTGACTAATAAAACCAGGGACGGATATAAGGAAGAAGTGGAATAAAATATACCGGGTGCATGTTGTATTAAAAATGCGTTGACGCAATGTCTCATAATTCATGTATAAGAATAACCTGCGAAAATAATTATTATAGACTACATCTATATATTTAGCACATTGATAAGTTCAATAATAAGACTTACTTTTGGCTGCGCGCTCATGCATGACATCATCATTTACGAACAATCTGATTGGCGAGAAGGCTTTGGCTCTCAAAGATCTATTTGCAGAAGTCAATTTCGTTGAAACTTTTAATCGTATATTCCCTTACAGCAGGGCATGTGAGTTAAAGTCTCACCTCCCTGCTTACAGCATGAACCTTATAGGATGTAAAATGTAAGTCCTAGAAATTGAGAGTGTATATTGTGTATATTTTTGTCTGTATATTTTTATGCCGATGATTTTATTGTTTATATCTGTAATCATCTCGAGCATTATGAGTATATTTGGGTGTGTTACTGGTAGTACTGGAATTAGGGAGAAAAATAGCAGCTGAAAGATATTCATAAAAAATACATGCCTAAAACCTTTAAAAAAACATAGACGAGTTTATATGAGAAATTTTGCTTTGTTTGTTCAATATTTTTTCTTCAAAGCTTCACCATGCTAATTCAACTTTGATTAGGTGTTGGAGCTTGGCTCGAGTTTTGAAAATCATACTTTAGTTATTGAGAACCAACCTACATTTCAGTGGTGACTTTAGGTTTCTTTTAAATATTGATTACCCCCATTCCCGATAATGATACCGTTCTGTAGTATTTTAATATTAATGGTATCTCTCTGATGGAGGGCATTTGTGTTGATTTAATTGGTTGTCCATGGGTTTTTATAAAGACCTAAAATTGATTTCAAATTATTTATTAGGTAAACATAGGCCAGATCGACAATAATATGATTAATCAAAGATATTGCCATGAAAATTCATGTGTAGAGTAATCTCATGTTTTGCTTTTGAAGCTGTACTAAGATACGTATGAAATCAGATTCTTTACCGCATTTCTGTAAATATTTTAACTTCACCTGAAAGTGCGTTTTCATATATTAAATACATGTAGATTGCTACGGAACAATATCACAACATTATTGTACGTGTACATTTTTTCACTGTAAATGAGAATTATACATGACTGTGTATACACACACTTCCAGTCTTCCATGTATAGAAGGTTATAAGCCAGTTCACGGTTGCAGTCTGAGCATGAGCAGATAAAGGTCATTGCAGAACAAATTTTGAAATACACGGAGACGAAATACTGGATACGTGTTCATGAAAGTTATGTAACATTATTCATTCATGCACATTCAGTGCCATCCATGATACACAGGTGGAAGTATTCTTTGAAAAGGGGAAACAAAGGCTATTTATATAGCACCTCCATCGCTGTAGGAGTGATTATTTCAAAATGTAAAAAGTGGGACCTCTTCATGTTTTTAAGATCTGTGGATATTCGGGGTCATTGCAGTAATGTGCTAACCGTGAACTGGTCTATTCATCTGGGGAAAAATGATGTATTTAAGAATGTAACACATTTAGGACAGGTGCGGAAAATTATGCATATCCGTAGACCTACTTAACTTTTATAAGCATAGTATGCATAGAAGTGCAAATAATTATCTTTATATTTAGCACAGTTCTTATACCGCAAAGCTTCTGGAAAGTATACAGCATATCGATGCTGTATACTTTCAAGAAGCTTTGCAAGAAATTGCCGCCCCTGCAAAGATAAGATAAGATAAGATTTTATTTGACTCTACACTCTAAGAAAAAAGGGTGCAAAAAAGGGTGCAAAATAAGAGTTTGCACCCTTTACATAAAAATGAACCCTATTGAAGGAAAGGGGGTTCAAAAAAGGGTGCAATATAAGAGTTTGCACCCTTCCCAAAAAATTGAACCCTATCGACCAAAAAGGGTGCAAAATAAAAATTTGCATAGTGCATGCATATTCATGATACTTTCTACGTGTTCACATAAAAATACATTTATTATGATTTGTTAAGCATTTATGACAATGCACATCAATTTTGTGATTTGTATTTTCCTTCGGCAATCATTAAGCAATATTATTTATTTTTTCTGATCATGTTACAATTACATTCACGTATATGATTACTAACCAAGAAACATCATGCATGTTTAATATGTATTTGTGTACGAGCAGATTCCATTTGTATTCCTCGATGATGGGTGCAGGATTGCACCTATTAAAAGGTGCAGGATTGAACCCTAAAGGTGCTGATGTTGCATCGGTTTGCACCCCTAAAGGAGCAGGATTGAACCATTAAGGGTACTAACATGTCTCCTAAAAGGTGCAATCTGGCACCCTCCTTAAAGGGTGCAGGATTTAACCCTAAAGGTGCTGCTATTGTTGCATCGGTTTGCACCCCTAAAGGTGCAGGATTGAACCATAAAGATTACTAACATGTCCCCTAAAAGGTTCAATCTGGCACCCTTTTAGAGGGTGCAGGATTGCACCTTTAAAAAGGGTGCAGGAATTAACCCCTAAAGGTGCTGCTATTGTTGCATCGGTTTGAACCCCTAAAGGTGCATAGTTGCACCATTTTTTCTTAGTGTGTATCGACCCCCTTCAGGAGTATGAGAGCACAACATATTTACAACACAATACAGAAAGATATATAAAACGATGGCAGTGCTCGCTCTCTGCTTCCTTTTCATAGGGGGGGGGGGGTGCCTTAGGAAGCCTTCGAATAAACAAAATTGTGATCCATACGTTTCAGCAACAAAACCAAAAGACCGAAAATTCAGTGTATTCCAATTGGGAATAATGTTCCGCTGAGACTAAGTCTGCAGCTTCAGCAAATTACTCTCCTAATTTTCATTTCATTCATTTTTCTTGGAGGAGAGCGTCAGAAGACAAATATGTTATGAAACTCCTCCAACTCCAAGCAGACGGATGTTTCTGTCTAAAAATTACATTATGTGCGTGAACGGGAGCAGATGAGGGCGAAACGCGTTTCTCTTCCCAACATAATTATTCCAAATTAATTTTGTAAATTTTGTGATAATTGTGATAATTATCTGATTTATCTTCACACTCGACAAAGGAGATCAAAACATTGATTTGCCGTTGATTGCGGATTAAATTGGAAGATAATCATCTGTACTAATTTCAAGACATAATTCTGACGTCAATATAGAACATGTTTGTAATGGATAAAGAACGTGCACTTTTATGAAGTTACATCTAGGCTCTTCTTTGTGAACCTATAAATGGACAGAGGCGGATCCAGGAATTTCTTCCCGGGGGACACACGGTGGGGGGGGGGGGGGCACACAGGGGGTAAGAGGACTTTTGTCCCCAACAAATCGCAACGACTCAGCCAGCCGCTGAATAAGCTGGAGGGGGAGCACATTTTGCCCCCTGTGCCCCCCCCCCCCTGGATCCGTCCCTGATGGAATACTTATTGCAACGCTGCTCAAAACTAATGAAGCCTTCATTTTATAACAAAAGGGACCCAGATAGAAATTTCGTAATTTTCTAATTTAAATTTTGTTTGTTACCATAAGAACCGCCCCATATTATCAAGGTGCAACTCATTCGCACCGAAAAAAAACAAGGTCCGTAATTGAGATGTGCATAATAATTATTTAAAATCAAGTTGTGTAAACTGATCTCATGTGATGTGGGGCGAAATGATGTGATGTTTTGTAATTGTGTTATGTGATGTAATTAGATATGCTGTGGTGTGATATGATGTGATTAATTTTAATGTGCGAGCAAAGGAATTATACACTTTACCATCTCTGAACTATTTCCTCATCGAAATATACCCAAAGCAGTGGCGTAATGAGCAAAAACTTTTTGGGGTCAGAACCACTGGCGTACCTATGGGGGGGGGGCAGGGGGGGCAGAGTGCCCCCCCTGACGGGCTCCAGAGGAAAAAAAGAAAAAGGGGAAAAATAAGAAAAGAAAGGGAAAGGAAAGAAAAAGAAAAAAGGAAAAGGAAAGAAAAAAGGAAAGAAAGAGAAAAAAGGAAAAAAAAGGAAAGAAAAAGGAAGAAGAAGAGAAAAGGAAGAAAAAGGGAAAAGAAAAGGAAAGGAATAAAAATGGGGAAAAAAAATAAAGAACATGGCCGTAAGCACCGGGGGGGGGGGGCAGTTGACCCCAGATATTTTGAAATCGTACAGTTTTTTTCCTGAAAATGTAGTGTAGGCCTATACCAAATCCTTCAATTCTACTTTTGAAAATGCAAAATTACCCTCATGACCAGTTCGGTCGCTCGAACTCCCTTCACCTTTTGCTTTTGAGATTCTTCGAAAACTTTTAACGCATCTTTCTCCCTTCCCCCATCAGAAAAATATTCCGCATACGGCCCTGAAAAATTAAAACAAATGAAAATAGGAAAATATAAGTGATATAACTAATTTGAAACTCTTCGCTGGCGCGAACTGCTTGCTAGCCTATTTTGTATTAAATGTTTCACTTCCTCGTCCCCCTGAAAAAAGAA